TCCAGCCGCTGATAAAGGTAATGCTGTTCATGTTTTCGGATGGCGACAAGTCGGTGGGAATATTTTTAAATACTTTTCTCAAATTCTCAAAGTTGATTTTAAAAAAGTGTAATCAGTATATTTGTTGACAGCTTCTTTTTCTGCAGTGGCAAACTAAACAGTAAGTTGTTTCAGTTCTTTTTGAAAGATTTTTCTCGTTGCCGCAGTGTTTGTCGCAAGAATGACAAGGAATCGATTGGTAGAATGAAGTTTTGATGAGCAAAACACACGAGAAAAAACTGTCACTAGTAATAAATTGTTATTAGTTATGTTCTGTATTAACTAACTGAAGAAGCAAGAGGGGGAAAAGTAATTCAGTCCAGGTGGTTGATATGGAAACGGGAAAAACAAGTCTGAGAATGATTAAAAGTAGTGGTAAGATTTAGAAGCAACTGTTTAACAACAAAAAGATCAGTACAAAAAAATAGCACTGAACGAAAAGTTCTATAAAGTTAAAAGTTTAAGAGCACACAAAATAAAGCAAAAAATTTTTAAAATGTTTTTGGCTTAAACAAAATAAAGTTTTTTTTGCTTAAACCTAGTGTGTTGGCGGCAAGCACAGCCAATAACTTATTTACAACAAAAAATAAAAACCATCAGTTTATAAATAAATATGCAATCAGTTTTGCAAACACAACAGTGACAAAACGTGCATACTAAAAGAGCACATTAGTTTGCCTTATCAGACAATTTGCAGTGGCACTCACCAGTTCCACACACTTATCGGCAAATCAATGGAAATGAGAAAACGAGAAAGTGAGGTGTTGTTTAAAACAAGAGAAAGAGAAAAAGAGGGTACGACAGCTTGGGCAAATGTTGTTCAAAATGAGAAAATGAGAATGCCGCATTCACAGATATGTTGATGCACTCTTACAGTGGTAGTTAACATTGCGACAAAATTTTATTGCTTTTTTTTGTCTTTCAAAGAAGCAGCGGTAGTACTTGTATCTTGTTCTCCTCTTCCTATTTCTTTTCACTTTCAAACATCAACAAAATATTTCATCGTTCTAGCAGAAGAAGAGGGAGCGGCTGTCAGTTGTCAAGGCCACTCATACAATGAAAATGTGTGCTATCGGTGTCTGTGCTTCTGCTTTTTCTTTAGCCTGGGTAAAACATCTATTTTTTGGTAGTGGTACTTTCTAGCCTGTTGTTCAGAAAGTTCAGAAATTTTTTTTTCTTAAGTTATATAGCTGACTGTGGTGGTAGTTTGATAGCTACCTACTGGCGGCAAATGCAAATGCAGCAAAGGTGCACTTTAAAAGTGCATATTTTTCAGTTTTTTACTTTTTTATTTTTATAATTAATTTTAGCATTAATGTCATATGCCATCTATTGAGTTTTATTTAAAGTTTAATTTTAAACTCTGATTTTCAATGTTTGTAGTTTATCAACTACTATGGAAGTGTAATCTAATCATATACTGATTGTTGTAAAAAACAGTAAAAATATTGTACCTTATAAAGTGAATCATGCGGACCTTTTTAATATTACTCAGGTAAATTTTTGATAATTTTTAGTAAGAACGACAGTAAAATGAAATCATCTTATTGCATTTTTTAAAATTTTTTATAATAAAATTGACGTCATTAATGGTGATGTTAATAGTTAGAAATGTGTCACCTTTTGTTTAAAAAAACTTTGTTTTACTGATATAAAATAAAAGCAAAATTTTTGCAAAACAACCTTTAACAAAATATTTGAAAAAAATTTTTTAATAGTTTTAAATTATAATCCACTTAATCATCTTTACCATGTCTTCTGGTTCTGACGTCTTTATTTGGGTGATTGTAATCATCTTTGTTTTTGCAATTAGCCTTTGCTGCTCTTACTGTAAGTACCAGATGAAGAAAGAAAAAAAGAAGCGTCTTCAAGCGGAAATTGCAGAAAACCTCCGGTCAGCTTTCAGAGCAGAAGCAGTACAGAATTCTCGTATGAACATTGCCAACAATAACAGCAGAAATAACTATCAAATCTACTCCGTTGAGCGGAGGTACGAGCAGGAGATTCGGCGACAGAATCAGGAGCTAGCTCAACTTCGAGTGCAAAATCAGGTACTGATAAACCAACAACAGGCGTCTACATCAAATTTACATCATAGTTCTACCACCCTACCATCAGCCCCACCCACTCGAAGCATCAGTGCTGAAAGTGATAAACCACCAATGTACAGTGAAGTAGTGAGAGAAGCGGAAAATGTTTAAGAATGCATGCTACGAAATTATATTCAAAAAACTTAATTTCATTTTTTCAGAAATAAAGTTTTCATTTTTTTATTCACAATTTAGTGCAAATAATTTTATATTAACCAAATAAAGTAAACAAAATGCCAATCAAAAAACATCAATAAAAAAAATAAAAAATTGATAAGGAAATGATTAGTCAGTACAAGATCTCAAATGAAAGATACAAATAAATATTTTTTTACAACTTTTGATTTGTTGTCATTTCTTCTAACTAACTGGCTAGTTTATGTGCAAAAGTTTGTGCTTACTTACAATTGCTTAAAAATGTCATCAAATATTGTCAGCAAACTAAAAGTAAAGTAAACAAAATAAAAGTTATAAGTAACTAAATTGAAATTTTTTTAGAGTTTCTACGTTGCCAATCGCAGCCCAGTGCTTACGATGGTGGGCGTCTTTGGAGGTTTGCTCACTGGACTAGCTTTCAAAGCAATATTTTATCCCAACAGTCCGGTTGACGCCCACCTTCTGCGGTACTGCTCGCTTCCTGGTCAGTTGTATCTTCGCCTACTTTTCCTTCTCATCGTTCCATTGCTCGTCTGCTCGCTATCATTATCACTATTGGGCAAAAATGAAGAAGAAGAACAAGAAGAACTCTCTAAAAATAACTCAACTGAAAAAAAGAATGATTTGTCTGAAAACCTGGACGCGAAGAAGCTCCTCCTGTATACGCTGGCTTTCTTTGTTGCCCTCTCAATGATCTGCGCAGTAGCCGGCGTTTCGATCATGATGATTTTTCAGCCTGGAGTTTTAGTGTCCTCTTCCATTATTCCTTCAAACGACTCCTCAACAAATTTTTCTGCCCAAGCTGATTCAATTGCCACAAAACAAAAGCAGATACTCCGCAGTGCCGAACGAGCCGACTCGCTGTACAATCTAGTCTGGCAAGTAACAACTTTCTAAAACAAATTGATTTTGTTAACTTTATTTTCTTTTGTTGCCAATCAGCAATATCTTTCCCGACAACCTTCTCACTTTTCTTTTTCTCACATCGTACACTAAAACCGAGGTCCAGTGGCCAGAGTCAAACCTCTCCAGCTTGCTCTCTGATCCAAACTTTACACCCTCTTTAAAAACTTCAACTAGCACTACTTTCAAACCAAACATGGTTGGCATTTGCGTGGTCAGTTTTATGCTGGGCCTTCTTCTCAAAAGCATGGGCCCGACTAGATCTTCTACAATTCGAAAATTTCTTTTTGAGTTAGACCAACTTGTCGCCGAGGCTTTCAAACACCTTCTGGCTTTGATGCCTCTTGGAATGTTTGTCTGGATCTTTGCCGAAGCGTTGAAAATGCGTTCTGTTGGCGGAGTGGCTGTTCAACTAGTCACTTTTTACGGGCTGTTAACAGTGGGATTGGCTAGTATCTGGTTGATCCTTTACCCTGTAGTGATTTACCTTTTTACCCGAGGAAACGTTTTCAAACTGTACAAACACCTTTTACCGGCAATTTTGGTCGCTTTTGGCTCTTGTTCCAGCGCAGTTTCGCTGCCAATGACAATGCAGTGTATGGGAGAGCAGGGAGCAAAATTGAAGGTGAGATTTAAACAACTTTTAAAAGATTTTATAATTTCTTTATCCAATTTTTTTAGAAAAGCATCGCTCAAACGGTTCTTCCTCTTGGTGTGACCATTCACATGAACGGACCGGCAATGTACTACGTCATGGTGGCGCTTTTTGTGGCCCAAGTCAAGGGCGTTCCTGTAGATGCTTTTACACTGGGCATTTTGTTGTAAGTGCTTGTTTTTAATTCCTAAAAATTTACATTGTTATCTGAAAAATCTTGTTTTTTAAGAATCTTCAACCTCGCCATGACGATGGGTTTTCCGGGTGCACCCATGGGTGGAGGGATCATCGTTAATCACCTTGCCTATGCTTCAGTGCTGGGCGTAGATGGTGCCACTGAAGTGCTCGCCTTTGTCATGCCATTTGAATGGTTCTGGGAGAGAGTGCGTACGATGACCAACATTGTCGGCGATTGTGTGGCTGCGGTGGCCGTTGAAGCTGTCATGAAACCTCCGTCAACTTTAAAAAGTGGTGCTCAAAAAGAAATTCAAAATAAAGAGAGCAGTTGCTAAAGTTTAATTAAAAATAAAAAATGTTTTGATTTACAAGAAAAGTAAATTGCTTGGTCTTCTAGTTGAGGCCGTAGTTGATGATTTTGATGAAGAAGTAGCCGTCTTTGAGTCGGTTTCAGTAATGTCTGTACTGTTGAAGGAAAAAACCGGGAATGTCCAGTTTCGGCTAAAGATTCGGTCAAAGTTGATGGTGGTATTGAAGGAGCCTAGGCCAAAAGGAAGAGTGCAGTTGAAAGTCCAGGCGTCTACATCAGTGCAAACTGTCCAGGCCAATGCGAAAAAGAGGCAAGTAGTCAACTGTAAAACTAAAGCCATAATTGAATTAAACTTTTTAAATAACAAAAATTTTCTTATCAAACCTTTCATTTTAATTTTTTTGTTGATTTGATATTTTGCGTGGTTAAATTTAATCTAAACAATATTTTAAATATGCGCTTTGTTTAAATACACAAGTATTTTGGATGCACCTGAATTAGCTTTAAAACTAAAAATAGTAAGTGAGTCAAGCGAGTCATAACTTTCAAATTTTGATTTTATTGATAATTTTTAATGTGTGAAAATGAATTAAAAATAAACGAATCAAGCAGTTGTATAAAAATGAATTAAAAAATCAAATAAAATTAGCTAAAACAATAAATTATGAATCTATTTTTTCTCTTGCTTCAACACATAAGGAATTGTTCCGTCCTCAGTAAAACGCTTTTTTAGTTTTTGCAACCCAGAGTATCGGTTAAATGCGGCTTCCTACAAAAATTAATAAAACATATGTTACATTAAAAGATCTCAAATACAAAACCATCCTCAACTCACCAGAAAGTAGTCCTTCCTTGGTCCCTTTGGATCGTTTGTGTACATCATTAAACAGAAGAAGAAGTCACTATAGGCTTGCATCGCAAAAATCTTTGCTTCTCGAATAAGCATTTCTAGCGGATTTGCCTCAAGATAAAACTGTCCCTGAATTCTGGCACATTCTTGTCGATATTCTTCGAGGAAAAGGGCCATCTCCTCATCAGTAGGAAAGCCTTCATCACCAAACATGTCATCTTCGTGGCGGTAGTTGCTAAAATACCGCCCAAAGTCGATGCCTCGGTAGTTGATGGTCGAGTAGTCAAAGTCAACAATCCAGATGCGCTTCTTTTCTACTCCTGTTTCCGGATCTTTGACCTTTGCTACCAATCGATTGCCTCGATTAAAGTCGGAATGACTGAAAACAAAAGTCGAATTGACCTTCTTGCTCAGCTCTCGAGTCAGTCGACTGCTCTCTAGGTACTCAATCGACTCCAAAAGATCCCAGTACTTTGCTTTGATTTCTTCGGTTTCCTCTTTTAACGAGTCTAAGTACTTTTTATCAATGATGTTTTTCATTGGGGGATTTTTCATCATTGGGCTGTCCTCATCAAAAAGCTTTTCCCAGTTTTTGAAGGTCTTGGAGCTGATAGGCGGCTTTGCAGAATGGATTCGCGCAAGTACTCTTGCCAGTTCTTTCACCGTCTTTGGATCCAGGTCTTCCTCAATTTTGTAATTTCTCGAAGGGACGTACTCATTAATCATGCAATCGGCGTCGATGTAGAGAAGTCGTGGAGTGATGCCCAGCTCAGACATGATAGCGTTGTTGGCGACAAACTCCAAGCGGTCAATGTCCACAAAGAACTGCTTTGGCTTAAACTTGACGACTACGCCGGCAACGTCAGCAGGTGTTTTGACTAGGCGTGAACGGGCCTCAGGAGTCAGCTCGCAGCAACTAATGTCGTTGACAAAACCCATGCTACAAAGTAAAACAAATAAGATT